GGGGGGAGGATACCACGTAGGGCAACAGAGAGCAGCTGAGTCATAATGACATGATAGTCATGGGCCTTCATAGGGCCATAGTTGAACTTGAGTTCTCTCATGTTCACTAGCCTCTTCGGGTTCGCACAGTAGCTCATCGGGACTTTGAGTTCATTGAAGAAAGAAATAAGCGCACGCTTTTCTTCCTTCTTCAATGTCCATGACGCAACCGGAAGTTTGAACTGGCCATTCTCTAGCTCCACGGGATGTAGCTCCTTCCTGATTCCCAAGTGTTGCATGTCCAAGCGTGTGGCTAGTGAATCCTTCGATGTCCCCCTAGTGTCCATCAAGGTGTTAAGAGTGTTAGGGCACATGTTTTTAGTGATGTGCATGGGATCAAGACAGTGGCATACACTTAGAAATGGCCAGTAAGGTAGTTTCACAGATTTTTTCTTCCAAATGCTCCCATCAGGCGCTGCTATTGCATTGTCCCCCTTCCCAAGGACAACCTCCTATTTGTTGAGTTCTCAAAGTATCGTGGGCCCGCCTCGATATTTTGGAGCTAAGCATTTCTCAATAGTACCATTGAAATCTTTTTTGTTCCTACGGTAAGGGTGATCCTTAGGTAGGAACCTATGGTGTCCCATATAAACTATCTTTGAGTTATTTGGCAGATTTACCGCATTAGTGTCATCCAAGCACTCGACACATCCAGTATAGCCTTTTGTCTTCTCTCTGGACAACGAACCTCGACCTGGCAGGTGTGTGATTGTAGTGATAAGTACTCCCTTGATCATGACATGTTCCATTTTGTACTCGTCCCAAACATCCGGCACACCCTTTTCAAACATCTCCACTAGTTCATCGATCACTAGTTCTAGAAACACATCGATGTCATTCCTAGGTTGTCTTGGCCCTTAGATTAGTAGTGGCATCTGGATGTACGACCGCTTCATACACACCTAAGGTGGAAGGTTGTATATACAGAACATCACTGGCCAGGTGCTATGATTGCTTCTAACCTGGTTGAAAGGATTCATCCCATCTATGCTCAAAGCAAGCCAAAGGTGCCTTACCTCTTCACTGATGTCCTTATAGAACATAGTATTGATAGTCCTCCAGTCATGCCCATCGGCGAGGTGCCTCATCATTGTATCTTTCTTACGCTCTTTGCCATGCCGGTGCAACAACTTGGTTGACTTTGCACATACAAACAGCCTATGCACCCGGGGAGTTATAGGGAAATACCAAACGACCTTTACGGGACCTCCTCTGGTCTTGGTACCCTCATCTGACGGCCCTTCCTTGTACCGTGGAGCTTCACACTTGGGGCACTTGTCCAAGTCTTTGTATTTTTCTCCACGCTACAATATGCAATCATTGGAACACGCGTGGATTTTTTCAACCTCGAGGCCGATGGGGCAGATTATTTGCTTGGCCAAGTATGTCTTTTCTAGCAACTCATTTTTTTCTGGGAGCATTTTCCTTATTATACCTAACAACTGATCAAAGCCTTTATCGCTCAATCCGTTTGTCGATTTAAACTCTAACAGCATGATGTTGGCTTCCAGTTTGCTCATTGGACAATCCCTATACAATGGTGTTTTGCCATCTTGTCTCATTTTCTCTAGCTTTCTCAGCTGTCTTTCACTAAGACATCCAGTCTCTACATTACATAGCAGCTAAGAAATGCCATTGTTATCCTCGGTGTCATCAGCTAGCGTGTTCCTAAATGCATTATTAACTATGTCCATAGGTTCCATGTTGACACCGGGTTCCTCGTCACCATCGTGGATGGCTACATCAGGCATGTCCACGTCATCATCATTTTCCTACAGAACATTCACACCAACCTCGCCATGCATACTCCATATCGTATAGTTTGGCATGAACCCCCTAGTAATCAAGTGCGATCGTATAGACTCAATTTGATGAAAGTTTCTTTGATTCTTGCAATCTTTGAATGGGTGGAAGACAGGGTTCCCATTCCTAGCATTAGCTTTGGCATCGGTGACAACCTGGCTGACGCCATGCGTGTACTGCTTGTCCGTTCAGGACAGATGCATCCACTCTTGATCCATCTCTGTACAAAAAAAAATACTGGGACAGTAATTACAATGAATTAATAAACATCGAGCTTCATGAACAATAATTGTAGCTCGAAAGTACCATTTTTGGAAAACATTATTGTACACTAATTATTGGGAAATTGAAATTGGTAGCCCCAGCCCTGTAAATTGAAAATCACAGTAAAAACAATTATTGCACAATATTGAAGAACAACTATTCTACTCTACTTCTAAGAACTAATTATAGCATCACATACTAACAATGATGATCTTGACCACCATGGAATAATTAGCTAGGAATTTAAATGTGTTCATAAACACCAACCGTTTGGATGATGGATTCACCACAATTTGAGCCTTGCACAAATGTCCAATTGGAAAACTGCTCTCTAGAATGGAGAAAGAACTAGAATGAGAATCAAGCAATGTAGCCATCAAAACGAAGCTAATTAAGCAACAAAATAAAAGGCGTGGATGTTTGTTACTAACCTTAAAGCAAAAAGATCGAGCCATTCTTCAAAATCCAAGCGCTAGCTTCATGGTGAAGAGCAGCCGCAACAATGGAGGGAAGGGCCCAAACGCGCGCCTCTGTTCTCGGGATGGAAGACAGGAGGAAGAAGAGGATGGCTGCAGCCTTTTTGTGCTGTAGGCTTATCACCGTCGGTTCTTGGCTAGAACCGACAGTGATAGAGCCAAATCACTGCCGGTTTGTGGCTTGAACCGGTAGTGATAAGTGGCTGCCAAAACACTGCCGGTTCAAGCCACAAACTGGCAGTGATGTGGTGCTTCATAGCTGGTTTTAGCCCAGCCCCAATCATTTTCTCATTTTTAAGCTCATAACCGGTAGTGAAGGTACATCACTACCGGTTCTCACAAATCCGGCAGTGATGAGGCCGGCAATGATGTCCAAATCTGGCGTAGTGCTTTTTCGGAAATTCTATGGTTAAGCAAGTTGTTTCAAATCAAGTTTTGGTGCTATGAGATAACATTTGAGCCTCCAACCACAAGCTTTATTTTGCATATAATTAGCACTAAGGCATCAATAAATGGAGGTAATTTCTTTTCAACATGTCCTCTCTCCCTTCTAGTTTACTGAGAAGGTTGCAGTCCCTCTCATATAGCTAGCAGCATATGCAGCTCAAGCAAATAGTTTAGAGTTTGGTCTTATTCTTCCCTCTCCACCGTTGCTTGAAGAAATAAATCGATATCTCGCAAGCACTGACTTGCGAGCTATCACTAGCCTAAACAATCTTCATGTGCACTACTACTCGTCAGAATTTGTAGGGGCGGCTAGTAAGGGTTTGTAGGGGCAGTTTCCCCAGCCGCCCCTAAACAACCGTGTCTACAAATCATTGATTTGTAGGTTTCCAAGCTGCCCCTGTAAATCAATTTATTGGGGCGGCTGTGACACCAACCACCCCTATAGTTTCCATTTATAGGGGCGGTTAAATATAGAACCGCCCCTACAGTACCTTTTCTCACAAAAAAAAATTCAGATTTATAAATTCAAATCTCACCGGAACATATATACATATATGATTCACAAGGCCATTATATCAATAGCTAATTCACAAGAAGATATATAAATATACATATATAATTCACAAGAACATTATATCCAATAAGACTACAAGTCCAAATCACAAGAACAAATATAATTCATCATTACATTCACATAATCCATAAGTCCGACCATTCCACAAGTCCTATAACAATACCAAAGTCACATTCCATTCACAAGTCCAATCAATGGTCTAAGCCTAACTTTTCCCACTCACGAAGATGTTGATATTGAGGATTCCTACCTAATTTGGTCGCTCGGTCATGGTAAATGCCTCTGACGTGTACAATCTGGTCCATTATGAAGTTACAAAGGTCACCGACGAGCTCCAAGAGGTTGTCATCTTTGTGTGGATCATTTCTCACATCTTTCTCATCTTGTCACTACAAGAAAATAAGTTTAGGCATATCTAAAAATAGAGGGCATATATAAACACAGTGGGCATATCTAAATGTTGGGTAAGAATTTACACAAGCATCAAAGTTTGAACATAAGACAAAGTTGTATTCATTTCATGATCGTACTATACATGTCAGAGGGGGTATTTATAGGGTTCTAGTCTTTGTACTTTACATAAAATGACTATTTTACCCCCAACTCTAATAGTTACAACCCTTTCCAACTACAAGGGTGAAGTAGTCCTTTTCCCCTTTTGAGTCTTCATTCTTCAACTTTTGTACATCAACTTTATTGATGTCACCGTCTTCTAGACTTAGTTGATTTCCGCTTTGATTTTCTTCTTCTTCTAGAATGTTAGGCAAAGTAAAACTCTGTCTTCGCCTAATCTTGCTTTCTTCTTTTCACCTACGAAGACGATATTTCTTCAGCGAAGATAGAATCTTTCTAACGAAGTCAAATTTTCATCTTCGCTTTACTTCTTTTCCCTGCAAGTAAACTTTATTATAGAAATCACGATTTCAACTCCAAAGTTTCAGGGGCTGATTTTTCTTGGCGAAGGCCTACTCCAAAGGTTTGAATCCCACGAAGTTTGGTTTTAAAACGAAGACAAAAAACATCGTCCCGAACTTTAGAGTTGGCCGTTTCTAGTCGTTAGACTGTGAACAAATGTTTTTTTATTTGCAATGGTTGTATTTGACCGTTGAAAGCTGAACTGCAGGGTTTGACCCAAGGCCGCCTATATATACTTTGGTCTATTCCCTGTTTTTGCTACTTTATCGAAGACGGAGAGGTGCTACTGAAATTTTCTTTGAAGCGAAGCCAAAAAAAATTTGTGGATCCAAAACTCTTTTTCGAAGACTATTTTCTTTTCAGGGTTGAAAGTTTTGTTGACTGAAGGTTAGTTTTAAATTCGTTTGTTTCTGTTTTTTCTCTTTGTTTTGTTGTTGTTGTTATTATTATTTATCTTGATGAAAAAGTTTCTTATTTTCTAGATGTCTGATCAAGAGAAAAATGCTTCTACAAACTCTCCAGTTGGATCTAATCAGTCTGACTTGGGTGAAGATCTATTAGATGTTTCTACATCTGAGTCCGAGTTGGTTGGTGATGATACGAAGTCTTTGAAGTTTGGACAAACTTTGATGGATGATAAAGAGTTAGATTGGATGGTGACTAATCGGATGGTGGAGAGGGCATCTGTTCGTTTGCTTGGAAATGAAGTAATTCCTGATCCAAAACCTTATGAATGTGTGGTTTTTCAGGATCAATTTGCAGCTAGACTTCGTATGGCATGTCAAGACTTTCTTGAACAACTTTTGAAGGCATATAATATAGAAATGCATCAATTGACTCCTAATGGAATAGCGAAGATTGCTCTTTTTATTTGGGCAGTGAAGTGTCAAGATGTAAACTTGGACATCAGGGCTTTTTGTGCTCTTCATGAGATGCATACTTAGTTTAGGAATAAGACAGTGGATGAGAAAACTATTATTAAATACTTTGGTTGTTGCAGTTTTAAACCTGCTCAATGTGCTAAACAAATTTCTCCTGCTTCCAAGAATAAGTGGGTTGAAAATTGGTATTGGTATTAGTTTTACCATATGGTTCCAATGGTTGAAGAAAAGGATGAGTCAAGGAAGATTGTGAAGCGCTATCCATTGGCTGCGAAGATGGGAAGGAATGTTTTTATTGCAATCCTGAATTTCCTAGTACAAAGAATTCAAAGATTTGTGAGAAGGCTTACAAGTTGACTACTAATATGCAAAGTGCTCGTGATCTTTGTGAAGAATATATTGTAGCTCGAGTTTGGCCTCTTAAGAAGGATTGGAGTTTTGTTCGTTTTCATAAGAAAGTTGTGAGGGGGAAGGATTATATTTATCCTGACAAAGAAGCTTTTCGCCTGAAGAAGTATACAAGAGATGAAGATTTTGTTTTTGTTGTTGAAGTTAAGGCAGTTGAGATTCTAGGCAAATTTTTAAAGAAGGAGAAAGATTTGATGGATAAAATTCTTAGAAAAGATTATAAGCATTTGAATAAAATTTTTTAAATTTTCCAAATCAAATATGATGAAAACCTCCACCAGCTTATACTCGTGAAGCGAAGCCGGGCATAGAAAATGTTACTAAGAAGGAGAGCTGGTGGTCAACTTGCTAAGAAGACTAGCAACAAAAAGAAGGTTTCAGCTTCTTTTGATTCAGAAAAGGTTGCAGGAGATGAAGTTGATTAGGGTTTAGATGTTGGCAGTCAAGAGGTTCTTAGTCAACAGGTTCGTGATGACGAGGTGAGAATGATTAGTTTAGTTTTTTAATTCTAGTGGTTTGACTCCACCAATGTTGACTCCGCTTGGTGACTATTTCCAAAATTTGGGGGTCAATTTGCATTCTGGTGAAGATGTTGGTGAGGCTAGTTTGTCTTCTCCTCTAAAAAATGTTGGCGAAGACACTTTGCCTTCTTCCCCAGCTGTTCCTGCTTCTTCTCCTGTTCTTGATACTAGCGGTGCTACTGATGCAACTGCTACTGCTAATGAGCAAATGGAAGAAGGTGAGATTGAAACTTTAGCTTCGTAGGAGACTGCTGGGCCATCTTCTCAAAGATTTGTTGCTGAAACTCCTCGAGGAACTATAGGAGATGTTGGTGCTACTCTCCATGTTGCCTCTTCTCCCCAAGTTGTGATGCAAGATACTGATTTGGGAGGTGCGCCTGTGGAGACTGATGCCCCAAAATTTAAGGCTCATAAGGGTAAGGGTACTACTACTGTTACCCTTGATTTTGATGATTCTGATGATGATATATTTGACGAAGAGGCTGAGCATGCCCAAGCTTCTCATCTTAATGAGTCTACTAATGATGTGAACACTGGTGAAAAAGTTGCATGTCAACTTGAAAAAGGTGTTTCCATAGGTAAGTTTCTTTGTTATTTTGCGTTGTTTGATTTAAATTTTATATTTCTGTTCTTATTTTAGACTTTGTTTGTTTTTGTAGAGGAATTTTTTCATGCTCCTTCATCTTAGAAGGAGACAACTTTTGATATTGGGAAGATGAAGGATGTGGCTCAGGAGCCTGCTACTCTTGTTGAAGCCTTGGAAACAATTCCTGGTGGAGTTGACCCTGAGGCATACAAGAGGTGCACGGAGTACTGCCAAGTTCAAGGTGTGAATTTAGATACTTTTAAATTTGTTGGGATTGGCCTGGATAGACTTCACATTATGCCAAAGAAGTCAGAGTTAAAGCTGTTAAATTATATTGATGATGCCTTCGCAGTTCGTGATGTTGAAGCTCAACTTGCTGGAAAATCTTCCCTTGAGTTGGTAGATGCGAATGTTACCATGATTTACAAGGTATGTATATTTTTGTCTGACTTCATATGTTAATTTTGGCTTCACGATTTGATTTTTTATAGCGTTGTATTTTTTAGAGTGCTCTTTTGCAATGGAGTTTATGTAAATCTGTTGAAGAAGAAGCGAAAAATGCGTACTTCGTGAAAAAGGTTTGCTTGAAGAGATTAAGACTTTGAAATCTCAGCTTGCTGCTAAAGAAAAGGAAAGAGTAGAGACAGTTGAAGCTCTTCATGATATGGAATCAAGGTGTATCTCTGTTGGGGCCAAGCTTGAGACAAAGACTAAAGATTTTGATAATTTGAAGAAAGATTATGATAAGATTATGAAAGAGAAAAATTACCCTGGAAAGAAGTCTACTGAGAAGGATCAAAAATTTCATGACAAATGTAATCGTCTATGGGAGCTTTGTAGGAATTGCTATGACAAGTTTGGTGCGAAGCCAGAAGATCCTTGTTGGGAGCTTGGTGAATTTGATCCATTCTTTGCTTGGTTGTGCCGCCAATATGAGGATTTGTCAACTGTTATTTAGACTAGTGCTGATTTGAGTTGTGTATACGCAACTCGTGCACTTTTTCATTTGTTGAAAGAGGCAAAAGATCCCTCGTGCGAGCAAATGTTGGATAAGGATTATAAGTTTCTTTCTATGGAATCGTTGAGTCAAGTTCTTCTCAGACTCAAATGCTTTGCAAGAAATATTTTAATCAATATTAGAATTTTGGTGGCGGGAGAATGCTTTTATAAAAGTGAAGAAGAAGATGGAAAAGGTTAAATTGAAGTTTCTTCTTTTTTGTTTGCTTCTCTTTCTCTTTTATTTTATATTCTAATATTTGGTTTCCTTTTTGCAGAGATTGAGAAGGAAATTGCTGCTGATGAAAAGGAGCAGAGGGAACAGGACAAGCGGGGGACAAAGTGCTAGAGATGATGATGTTGGTGACCATCCATTTTAGTTGTCTTCGTAGTTGGGTTTTTTTTAGATTTTTAGTTGAGGGGTGACGTTTAAAACTTTTGACATTTGTACATATTGAACTGGGCAGGATGAAGTTGGCGTTATGCCATTGTTAATGTGTAAGGACAACTTTGTCGTTGAACCTTCGTTGTGGTTGGAGTATGCAACCATTGAGACAAACCCTACGTTTGATACATTTGTTGAACGTAAGCTGATGTAAGCTTTTAGTTATGATGTATTTTGTTTTTTGATGTTGTGGTTATTTTGCTGATGATGTATGTTGTTTTTAGATTTTGAATCTAAAAATCTTATTGCTGAAAACAAGAGGTCTTATTTCCCACATGTTGTTGACTTCAGCAAATTTTCCCAGGTAGTTGTTAATTTTTCACTTTTTCCTTTTTTATCATGATATTTGAATGTGATAAGTCATGCTTTTGATATTCTTATCTTTCCAGTCATCGTGTTCAAGTGCTTCGTCAAGCTTTGTTTCTGAAGATTTTCTTGGCTCAGAAGTGGATCGTGTTCTGGATAAAGTTGTTGAAGACTTAATTAGTGAAGCTGTAACTATTGTAGCTTCCGAAAGTGACTGATTGTGACTTTTGTTGTAAACTTGTTTCCCAATGTTTGTAATATGTGATAGATGATTCTATTTTATAATAAACTTGTTTTTTGTTAATGTATGAAGTTTTTGCGAAGGCAATGTATAGACCTTGCTTAGAAATTATAATTTACCTTAGTGAATTTGAAAAACGCCGTCCCCTCACTTTTTTACGAAGGTAACACGTAGATTTCGCTTAGAAGTCATAATTCACCTTAGTGAATTTGAAAAACACCATCCCCTCACTTTTCTGCGAAGGCAACATGTAGACTTCGCTTAGAAGTCATAATTCACCTTAGTGAATTTGAAAAACGTTGTCCCCTCACTTTTTTTGCGAAGGCAACACGTAGACTTCGCTTTAGAAGTCATAATTCACCTTAGTGAATTTGAAAAAACACCGTTCCCTCACTTTTTTGCAAAGGCAACGCGTAGACTTCGCTTTAGAAGTCATAATTCACCTTAGTGAATTTAAAAAACGCCGTCCTCTCACTTTTTTGCGAAGGCAACGCGTAGACGTCGCTTTAGAAGTCATAATTCACCTTAGTGAATTTGAAAAATGTCGTCCCCACACTTTTTTGCAAAGGCAACGCGTAGACTTCGCTTTAGAAGTCATAATTCACCTCAGTGAATTCGAAATACTGAAGAGTAAATGAAGTGTTATGTTTTTAGATAGGTTAGCATCATTTTTTCGCTTGTTCGAGAAATGATGCTACCTATTTTAGTTTTACTTTAGCCGATATTTGAGTATTTTTGGGTATATTCTTCGGCTTTTGTTTGTTTTGCTATACTCAAGACTTTTTTGGGGGAATAGTTTCTCATTTATATTTGATGAGAATTTACAATAGAGACTGCCTCATTAAAAAACCACTCACCCTATGAAGGGCTTCCCCTGAGTGGAAAAAGAGTGCAGCTCGTTTACATTTATATTGAAACTTTGGAATGTAAAAACTAGTCTACTTCTATCATAGAACTTGTAAAAAAATTGGAGTCTAAGGGTAGTATCTCCGTAGAGCCTCAATATTCCAGGTGTGGTCAATTTCTTCTCCATTCATGTTTGCCAAGTGAAATGCTCCCAATTTGTTTGTTCTTGTGATAAGATATGGCCCTTCCCATTTCTATTGAAACTTCCCAATTGTGTCTTCATTTCTCTTTCTTTTCAGAATGAAGTCGCCTGGGGATAATTATCTTGGTCTTACTTTCTTGTTGTACCAATTCTTTGTTTCTTTCTTGTAATTCTCAAGGTTTTGGATTACTTTCATTCTTTCTTCTTCGAGCAAATCCTTGCTTGTTACTTGCTCTTCTTCAATTATTTGGACGTTTGTTCTTGGGCCTTGAAATTTTATTTCTTCGGGTGTCATTGCTTCTTCTCCATACAACAACTTGAATGGTGTAAAGTTTGTTGATCTTGATACTGTTGTATTGTGTGCCCAAACAAGTTTTGGTAATTTGTGAACCCATTTTCCCTTAGGAAGCCCCACTAGGCATTTTGAAATTCTAGTGCATATGATTCCATTTGCTCCTTCAACTCCCCCATTTGACTATGGGTGTCTAACTGAGGCAAAGCATAGTTGGATT